CACACGCGCGCGCGCGCGCGCGCGCGCGCGTCCCCTCCCACCTCTGCCGGGCGGGCACACACCTTAGACTCTCTCCTTGACTTTCCCCACAGGTGTCAGAATGGTCCCCATCAGCGGCGGCAGATGATCTCACAAAAATAACACTCTTCAGCGCTGGACCGCGCATTTGCGCCACCGCTGCTGGGGCCAAGCCCATGGGTGACACATGTCATGCCAGGGCAAATGGAGTGTACACGATTGGCCGACCCCTGACCGCTGAGACCGCAGCACACGCAGGGCCCATCATTGGCCGCTGCGGCAGGCGGTCGGGCAGTGGACAGGAACACCCGTGCGTGCAGCGAGGAAGCGGTGTCTGCCTGGAGGGGGGGAGCTGGCCAGTGCAGCGACACGGCGGTCATGTGCCACCAGGGCCGAACTGCAAGGGGTTTCGAGTGGCAGGCAAAGCGCCTCTCAGGCCGCAGCCACATTGGCCCACGCTCGTGCGTGCCCGCTTGCTTGGCTCCACCCAGGTCGCCGGGTGTCCGCATCAGTCGCGCCCGCATCGCCCCGGAGCCGTATGACATCCACATGCAAACTGCCTCAGCTCATCCATGATCAGGCGTATAAAACAGTAACTGGTCATGTCTGCTATTGCATACGTCACTGCAGTAGTTTCAGCACGCTTGAACTTCAATGAACTTCAAGGCCACTATGAAGCGAGACCCCAAAATTGGTGCGCCCATCCAGAGGTCCCCAGGACCCTGACGCCAGGCTGCCCGCAGATGCGCAGGGCCGATGCTGGTTGACCTGGCAACGTTCATCACACATATAAAAATGCGTTTACATAAGCTTACACAAACCCATGTGTGCGGCCAGGCAGGTAAGCATGCACTCTGGCACATGGATGCGCTCACCGTACACACCCATTGGTTGTTGGGGGCACTGGCTTCAGGCAAGGGGACCCGGCACCTGGCGCGCCTGCCAGGGCCGTACGCACGCAAGCCGATGCCGTCGGCACAGCGCGCGCCTTCTCCCCACCTGCCCTGCTGACGCCACACGCAGCCTCTGCGGCGGATGCAGCTCGTGGTGATGGCCGCTTAAGCCAAAGCTTGCTTGTGGGCCGCGCCTGGGCTCGCTGTTGCGGTCGCTGACGTACCTTGCCGCGCTCACACCCCCCCCCCCCACGCGCCGCCGCTCTTCAAAGTTGCAGCAGCCCCCCACCTCAACATTTTTGCTGGAACGCTCAACACCTGCACGGGTCTGCGACTTGGCGGGAAAAGGCGAGGCAGCAGTCTCGCTATGACCGCATTGTGGACGAAGGAACACCGCTGCCGCTGCTGCTCGCGCCCCCACCGCCACCGCCGGCCGTCGCGCCCCTGCCGCCTGTGCACTCTTTGTTGTGGCCGGCCTTCCAGTGAGCCTTGGCGCACTGAGGGCCGCAGTACCTACATGCACATGCGTGTTCATGCGGGCACGAGCGTGTGTTCAGTGTGGATGTCAATATGGGATGCATCTGATGCGTATGCATGTGTGCACTTGAGTGGGCATTTTTATCGGCGCCTTGGCGTGTGCATGCAGGTCAGTGCGTGCAGAGCGCGCCGCTCATGCAGTGCTGCAGGCCCTCATTTCCCCTCGACGCAACCTTCCCGCCCATTGGCGTGCGACTCGGCCAACACGCCTCCATGCAGCTGAGGGGTGATACGATCTAGCACAGCACAATCAGCCCTGCCGCGGCGAAGGCGAGGGCACCCAGCAAAATGTCCAAAGGTGGTAGGGGTACAAAAAATTTGGGGGGGGGGCTGGACATGTGACAAGGGCAGAGCCTGCGCCGCGCTCACCTCGGTATCCCGCAGGCGCCACACTTTTTGAATTTCGAACCGACCTGCGCTTGGTCCTTTCCACAGGCGGCGCAAGACGGCCTTGCGTTCAGCTGCGCGGCCGGTGGCGCGACCGCCGCCGCAAAGCTGGCGCCGCCGCCCAGGCCGCTCGCGGCGCCGCCGCGCAGCCGACCCGCCTGCAGCGCCTCGAGCGCCGCGGCGGCGTTGGCAGCGGGCGACGCAGCGTCCCCGTCGTCCCCATCACCCCCGTCATCCCCCCCGGCGCCCGCGTATCCGGCGACTTGGCGCAGGCCCAGGGCCGCCCTTTCGTGCGCGACTGCCGCGTTTGGCGCGCGGAAGTGCATGCAGCAGGTCGGGTCCATGCACCCGGCGTCCGTGCACGGCACGCAGCCGCGCTCCGGCGGCTGGCCAGGCGGGCCCCCGCTGAGTGTGTGCAGCAGCTGCAGCGCGGAGCCTGAAGTCGACCCGGCGGGGCCGGGGACGCCCGCGCCGTCGATAGCTGCCGCCGCTAGCCAGGCAACCGCGCCGGGCGTAGCGGCCAGGTCATACTGCGCAACAGTCGAGTACAGCGCCACGACCCGCGCCCGGGCCAGCCCCTCCCGGCCCCCGGCCGCGAGGCCGCCCCACACGAGGGCCCGCAGCTCGGCGGTCGGCGGCAGCGCCGCCGCGGCCGCGTCCCTCGCCGCCGCAGGCGCCGCGGCGGCGGCATTGTAGGGACCCCTCAGCACGTAGGCAATGGCGCCGAGGGCGCCGGCGACCTGGGTGCCCAAAGCTATGGGTCGACGGGCGCAGCGTCACGTCTGACGCCGCTGCCCGGCGCCGGAAACGCGGCGGGCCCGGCGCGCGCGGCCTTGACCAACGCGCGCAGCGCGCCGTGCCGCGGCGCCGCGAGCTTGAATGCCCACAGGTCTCCGCCGGGGATGGTGGCGCAGTTAGCCGCCAGCGCCGCCGCATTGTGCAGCAGGTGTGCGCGGGTGCTGTCGTGTGCGCGCCCCCTCGCGCCGCACGCCGCACGCAGCGCGGCGGCGACGGCCGCCGCTGAGCCCTGCGCCGACACGATCACCGCCGCGCCGGCGCCGCGGCGCACGATGGCAAGAAGCAGGCCTGCGGCGAGTGCGGGACACGTGGAATTGCCGCCGGCCTCCAGCAGGGCGGCGCCCCCGCCAGCACCGCCAGCAGCGGCGCCGCGAGCGCCGCCGCCGGCCCCGCGGCCGCCAACATCGCGTCAGGGTCCGTGGCGGCCGCGCCCTGCAGCAGCTTCAGGCAGCAGCTGACAGTGTCCTCGTCCCCGCCGTCCCAGCCGCCGTCCCAGCCGCCGCCGCCGCCGCCGCCGCCGGGCCGGACGCGTTCTGTCAGCGTCGCGAGGATCTGGCGCAGCGCGGGCGCGTGGGACGCCAGGTCCCTAAACAGCGGGCCGTATGCCTCCCCGGCAAATGCGATCTCGGCACCGGTGACGAGCACGATTTTCTCCTCCCTATCTCGATCCCGGACCCCCGCGCGCGAGGGAGCCGCAAGCTGCGCGGCGACGGCGGACCAGAGCAGGCGCCCCGCGCGCTCCCGCGAGACCGCCGCGGCTGCTGCTGTTGCTGCCGCGGCGGCGGTGGCGAGCGGGGCCGCGCGGGTGCCGTCCGGGGCTGTCAGGTGCACCGCCATCACAGCAAAGGGCTGGTAATGGAAGGAGCCTTCTAGCAGCACGGCCCGCAGCAGGCCGGACAGCGCCCCTGGTACCTTGGGTCGTACGGGGTGGGTGGGGCTTGCCAGGTGAGGGGCTGGGCGTCCCGGGGAGAGCCGGGGTTTGCGTGTTTGAACCGACAGCTGGCTGTCGCTGACGCAGGCGGTGACGATACGTAGATCGCGGCGCTGCGACAAAGAGTTCAGATTTGGCCCTCTTCTGAGACACCTGGCGTCCCAGCAGCGCGCCGCCCAGCAGCGCCGCGTGCTTGGCGAGCGTCACGTGCGGCCCGTAGGGGTGGCAGCAAGGGCACACGGCGGCGGGCGCGTCAGCGCAGGTCTCCCATGAGGGTGCTGCAGCCGCGGCGCGCCCCGCGGCGGCGACCGCCTCGGCGAGTGCGCGGACGGTGGCGGG